TGCTATAGGGCAGGCTATGCCTAATATAAAATAACAAATAACTTGCAAAAAGTTTAATAGGTAGCCTATACAAAACTGGAAATGAGTAAACATGTATAATATATAACCAGATAAATAAGAAACGTAGAACGTTTATTAGCAAAACGAATGTCAAATAAAATAAATAAATGACACAAAGTTTAAATAAAGTAAAAATCAGCAAATATTGTGGAACCAATTAAATAAGAAATGAATGTTTAAAAAACACCAAATCACCTTAGATAAACGGCAAACGTCAACAGGCTTTTCCAAATCCAAAATATTGGCAAACAGGTGCTTTTGCATCTGGTTTCGAAACTAAATCATCCGCGATCGTCTTGTCTGTCTCACCTCCCTCTTCTTGTCAGTCAGCTCGACTCACTCTCCTCACTGGAGAAATGAAATCTGATCTGTGATGCGACTGTCGTTCGGCACGCTGCATTGAGCAGCCGCGTTCAGTTTTTAATTGTAGCGTCTGTTCTTTTATTGAACTAAAAGATTTTTATTTCTATAAAAAATCAAAACGACGGTGGGGGTCGGTGCCGCGGTGGGCAAGGGACGTAACCGGTGTTGCGGCTTAACACTGCTTTGTTGCAACCACAACTGATTCTGAGGAACTACATTGTTTGGTGGAAGAATACTGTTTTTATTAATATCATTCTTTATATTTATAACAGCTAAGCGTCGTGCCTAACAACGCCTCTTAGCTGTTATAAAGTAAACTACGGCTTCTTGGGGCTTATTGCTTTAGTCCACAATAAATTATATATAATATAATTATATATACACATATACACACAGACTAGAATCCTATACATATAAAGGATTTTACAAGGTAGATTGATCTTGATACTAATAATCATAATCGAGTTTTTATTTTATTTATTTATTTATTTATTATTATTATTATTATTATTATCATCATCATATTATTATATTATTGTTGGTCTTATATTAGCTATACAGCTGTTAATTTTTTATTTCCACATCTAAAGAAAATTTCCTGTGCCTTTGTGAAGTGAAATAACATATTCTCAAAAACATAAACCCACAATATCATTCATTCATTCATTCATTCATTCATTCATTCATTCATTCTTTAATTTTTGATTCAATTTTAAGCAAGTAAGTATTTGTCTGCGTCCACCCCCCTGACAGTCCTCTCATGGTGCATTCCAGGAAGCTGCTCTCTTCGCTGAATTAAATCATCTGACGCGCGCGCTGTCTCCCCACTCTCGGGTGGGATGAGCGGTTCTCGCCGGTTACCCGAGCAGCGGCGGCGGCGGCACTTGCACTGACTTCTTAGGGGACTCGCAGCCAAGACGAGGAAGAGGACAGAGAGGCTGTTAGGATGGCTTCAAACTTCAACGACATAGTGAAGCAGGGCTACGTGAGGATTCGGAGTAAGAAACTGGGGGTGAGTAGTCAGGATCTGCTGGACGTTACTGTGTGCTCAGTCATTTCAGGGCATCTCTATTTAAAAGTGCTTGATCAAGAACACTCTATCAACGTGCACGAGCTACTCATGCTACTTTTAGTTTTTTCTTAATGGCCTGTTATTTATTTTTCAGCATATATTTATTATTCATATAGCTTAAATCCTGCTCTGATAAAATCCATCTGAACAGGTAGATAATTATTAAACAATAACGATAATAATTGCTTTGGCTTACTTCTTGTGCTTTGAGCAAATGTGGGTTGTTTAAAAAAACAAATTTTCCTACCATAAACAGAGTAGGTATATGCTTTAGGCAATATTATTTATGTATTTGTTTAAATAGTTTTATTATCAAAGCTGTAATAGACTTTTATGTCTGTTAAGAAGATGAATTGTTTATTATATTTTAAAAAGTTAATCAATAATCTGCTGTCTACAGTAGTTTCTTTGCCTATATATGAGAAGTCAGGAATTAGTCAAGTCTCCAGATGCAGCATCATCTGTTTAGTGTCCTCCTGATTCTGCAGCTGTGAATAGAGCGAGTTCTGTAGGTCATCAGGGCTGTGTGATACAGCAGGTGAATTCATCCAACCAGGAAAGATGAATACATTCATACACAGTCATATGACATGCCGATTATAGTTTTATAGCAGGGTAGGAGGTTTGATGAGTTTTACAGGGTATTTATTGAAGTTTATTGGCCAAACTTGATTTTTTATTAAATTCGTTTTGGTGAAACGCCCCTAACTGTAGCAGTGCAATCCAATATTCATTTCAGCTTTACACATTATACACAATATGCAAAACAAAGAAATTATGTATATACAAAATAAACTTGTTTTTTTTGTTCTTTTAATTTACTTTTAAATAAATAAAAATGAATCAAAATATATAGAAATCACTCATTTTTATTTAGTATATAAATATATAAAATAAATAAATAAATATAGAAATGTATACAATTCTTCATTTGTATTTTTTCTTATTTATTTTACATAGAAAAAATGGTTCAATATTTCTAAAAGTTTATTCTGCTACTGCATTGTACATTATATATATATATATATATATATATATATATATATATATATATATATATATATATATATATATTTTTTTTTTTTTTT